TATAGGATGCAACAAAAGGAGTTCTAAGGGAAAAGTTCATAGCAATAAATGCCCACCTCCATAAACAAGAAAAAGTCAGATAACATAGTTTTACACCTCAAGGAACTAGAAAATGAAGTCCAAAGTTAGTAGAAGGTAGGAAATAAAAAGCAAAACAGAAAGGAATAAAATACAGACTAAGAAGACAATATAAAAGCTCAGTGAAAATGGGAGTTCGTTAAAAGATAAAATCAACAAAACTTTATCTAGTTTCAAGAAAAAAAGAGAGTGGACTCACTTAAGGAAAATCAGAAATTAGAGATATTACAAATGATACCACAGAAATACAAGGATCATAAGAGACTATTATGAATAATTACTGACAACAAATTTGACAACCTAGAAAAAAATGGATAAATTCTTAGAAACATAAACCTACCAAGACTGAATAACAAAGAAAACAGAATATGTGAACTGACAGATTAGTAGTAAGATTGAATTAATAGTAAGGAGTATGGTATTGGCATAAGAACAGACACATAGATCAATGTAACAGAATAGACAGCCCACAGATAAACCTACACATATATCATTAATTAACTGACAAAAAAGCCAACAATATACAACAGCAAAAGGACAGTCTCTTTAATAGTGTTAAGCAGACTGGTCAGCCATGTGCAAAAGAATGAAATGTACACAATACACAAAAGTTAACTCAAAATGAATTAAGAATTTAAGACCTGAAACCATAAAACCCCTAGAAGAAAACATAGTAATCTCCTTGGCATCAGTCTTGGTAATGACTTTTTTGAATCTAACACCACAAGCAAAGGCAACAGAGGCAAAAATAAACAAATGGGACTACAGCAAACTAAATAGCTTCTGCACAGCAAAGAAAACCATCAAAAAAATGAAAAGGCAGCCCAAGCGTCTATTCATAGATGAATGGATAAAAAAGATGTGGTGTATATTTACGATTCAGCCATAAAAAAAAGAATGAAGCCTTGCCATTTGCAGTAACATGCATGGAGCAAGAAAATGTAATGCTTAGTGAAGTAAGTGAAGACAAATACCATATGATTATACTCATGTGGAATTTAAGAAACAAAACAAATGAACAAAGGGAAAAGAGAGAGAGACAAACCAAGGAACAGACTCTTTAATTATAGAGAACAAACTGATGGTTACCATAAGGGAGATGGGTTGGGGGATGGGTAAATAGAAGATGGGGATTACAGAGTATATTTATCATGATGAGCCCTGGGCAATGTATAGCATTATTGAATCACTATATTGTACACCTGAAACTAATATAACATTGTTAACTATACGGGGATAAAAATAAATTTTTTAAAAAGATTTGAATAAAAACCATGAGGATAAAAAAAGCCACCCGTGGAATGGTAGAAGATATTTTCAAATCATATATCTGACAAGTTGTCAATACCCAATATACATAAGGGAATTCAAACAACTCATTAGCAAAAAGCCAAATAACCCAATTTAAAAGGGGTCAAAGGACCTGAATAAGATATTTTTCCAAAGAAGATATACAAATGGCCAACAGGTACATGAAAAGGTGCTCAACATCACAATCATCAGGGAAATGCAAATCAAAACCACAATGAGCTATCACTTCACACCTGTTAGAATGGCTGTGCTCAGAAAGAAATAAACAAGTGCTGGCAAGGATGTGGAAAACAGGAAATCCATGTACACTGTTGGTAGGAATATACCAGCCACTATGGGAAACAGCATAGAGATTCCTAAAAAATTAAAAATACAATTACCATATTATCCAATAATTCCACTTCTGGCCACTTATCTGAAAAACATGAAAACACTACCTCAGAAATACATATGCACCTCTATGTTTATTGCAGCATTATTTACAACAGCAGCCCAAGTGTCCATTGATTAATGAATGGATAAATGTGCAGTATATATATAAATACAAAGGAATATTATTCAGCCATTAAAAACACTGAAATATTGCCATTTGCAATGATATGGCTGGAGCTAGAGGATATAATGCTCAGAGAAATAAGTCAGAGAAGAATACCATATGATTGAACTCATATGTGAAATTTAAGAAACAAATGAACGAAGGGAAAGAGAGAGAGAGAGAGAGAAAGCAAGAAACAGATTCTGAACTATAGAGAACTGATGGTTACCAGAGGGGAAGTTGGTGGTGGGAGGGTGAAATAGGTGATGGGGATTAAAGAGTGGACTTCTCATGATGGGCCCTGGGTGAATCACTATACTATACACCTGCAACTAATGTAATACTATATGTTAACTGGAATTAAAATAAAAACTTAGGGGCACCTGAGTAGCTCGGTTGGTTAAGCATTGGACTCCAGATTTCGGCACAGGTCATGATCTCACGATACAGGAGTTTGAGCCCCATATTGGGCTCTGCACTGACAGTGCAAAGACTGCTTGGGATTCTCTCTTTCCCTCTTTCTCCCCCCCCCCCCCGGCTTGTGCTCTCTCTCTCTCAAAATAAATAAATAAACATAAAAAAGCCATCATAAAAAAATTTTTTCCCACCAAAAACCATAATATACCTAGGAATAAACCTAACCAAAGTGGTGAAAATCTATACATTGAAAACTATAGAAAGCTCATGAAAGAAATTGAAGAAGACAAAAAAATGCAAAAATTGTCCATGCTCATGGACTGGAAGAACAAATATTGTTAAGTGTCGATACTACCCAAAGCAATGTACATATTCATTGCAATCCCTATCAAAATAACATCAGCATTCTTCACAGAGCTTAAAAAAAAAAACAAAACCTAAAATTTGTATGGAACCAGAAAAGACCCCAAATAGCCAAAGCAATCCTGCAAAAGAAAACAAAGGCTGGAGGCATCACAATTCCAGACTTTAAGATGTTTTACAAAGCTGTAATCACCAAGACAGTATGGTACTGGCACAAAAACAGACACACAGATCAATGGAACAGAATAGAGAACCCAGAAATGGACCCACAAACATATGGCCAACTAATCTTTGACAAAGCAGGAAAGACTATCCAATGGAATAAAGACAGTCTCTTCAGCAAATGGTGTTGGGAAAACTGGGCAGTGACATGCAGAAGAATGAACCTGGACCACTTTCTTACACGATACACAAAAATAAGCTCAAAATGGATGAAAGACCTAAATGTAAGACAAGAAGCCATCAAAATCCTCGAGGAGAAAGCAGGCAAAACCTCTTTGATCTTGGCCACAGCAACTTCTTACTCAACATGTCTCCGGAGGCAAGGGAAACAAAAGCAAAAATGAACTATTGGGACTTCATGAAGATAAAAAGCTTCTGCACAGCAAAGCTGTTTAATTAGCAAAAAGATAAAACCACTAACAGAATGGGAGAAGATATTTGCAAACGACATATCAGATAAAGGGTTAGGATCCAAAATCTATAAAGAACTTATCAAACTCAACACCCAAAAAAACAATCCAGTGAAGAAATGAGCAAAAGACATGAATATGTCTTCTCCAAAGAAGACATCCAGATGGCCAACCGACACATGAAAAAATGCTCCACATCACTCATCATCAGGGAAATACAAACTGAGATACCACCTCACACCTGTCAGAATGGCTAACATTAACAACTCAGGCAACAACAGATGTTGGTGAGGATGTGGAGAAAGAGGATCTCTTTTGCACTGCTGGTGGGGTGCAGCCACTCTGAAAAATGGTATGGAGGTTCCTCAGCAAATGAAAAATAGAACTACCCTGGGCCACCTGAGTGGCTCAGTCGGTAAGTGTCCGACTTCAGCTCTGGTCATGATCTCACGGTTCGTGAGTTTGAGCCCTGCATCAAGCTCTGGGCTGACAGCTCAGAGCCTGGAGCCTGCTTTAGATTCTGTGTTTCCCTCTCTCTGCTCCTCCCCCACTCACACTCTCTCTCTCTCTCAAAAATAAATAAACATTAAAAAAAATTTTTTAGATTAAAAAAAAATAGAACTACCCTATGACACAGCTATTGCACTACTAGGTATTTATCCAAAGGATACAGGTATGCTGTTTCAAAGGGACACATGCACCCCAATGTTTATAGTGGCACTATCAACAATAGCCAAAGTATGGAAAGAACCCAAATGTCCATCAACAGATGAATGGATAAAGAAGATGTGGTATGTATGTATGTATGTATATATATATATATATATATATATACACATATATATATGTGTGTGTGTGTGTGTGTATATGTATATATATATTACAAAATGGAGTATTAGCAGTCAAAAAGAATGAAATCTTGCCATTTGCAACAACATGAATGGAACTACAGTATATTATGCGAAGTGAAACTAGAGAAAGATACTTATGACTTCACTCATACATGGAATTTAAGATACAAAACAGATGAACATAAGGGAAGAGAAGCAAAAATAATATAAAAACAGGGAGGGGCACAAAACGCGAGACTCTTAAATACAGAGAACAAACTGAGGGTTGCTGGAGGGGTTGTGGGTGGGGGGATGTGCTAAATGGGCAAGGGGCCTTAAGGAGAACACTCGTTAGGATGAATCACTGGATTCCACTCCTGAAATCATTATGGCACTATATGCTAATTTGGATATAAACGAAAAGGTAATTTTTTTTTTCCTGTGTGTGATGACAAATGTTAACTAGACTTATTATGGTGATCATTTCACAATGTATACAAATATCAAATCATATTACACACCCGAAACTAATATTGTATGTCAGTTATATTCAATTAAAAAAAAAAGAATTACAGTAGAGGGTGAGAAGTGACCCAGGTTTGTCATTTGTTTGCCTTGTTTGGCCACTTGAGATTTAAGTTGAGCCCAGAATGGACTCCTTAAAGGAGACATTTACCTTTTAGTTAATCTGGATATGAACTTATAGGCATTTCTTGAAAAAAATAATTGATGTATTTTGGAATCTTTCCTATAAAAATATGTGCTCCTTTTTTTTAATTGTACATAGTTATTCTTTAAGAAAAACTAACGCCCATTATTTTTCCTCTTTTGTAGTACCACCATCTGCATTATAATGGACTGTGATGTAATAACAAGAGCAGATTTTCAGATGGTTCTCAAGGGCAAAGGATACTTCTTTCTGATTGCATCATCTTCTCACCAGATTGAAAAAAAAGCACTGAAAACAAATTACTGAAAAAATTGACAGCTAGTTATCTTTACCATCTTCCTTTACTCAAGGATTTCAGAACTAAAATGTTCCCCCCAGTATGATGTATTGATTTTCAGTACGCAAATGGACTGAATCACATAGATTTTTTTCAGCCAGTAACTGCACAGTTATGCAAATCACATCTTCCAAAGTATGGATTGCTCCAATCAGAAAAAAGACTATCATTGGTTGTTGAGCTTTAGGGAGAACTATACTGTGTAAACGTACCATACATTTCTAAAATCCCAAATGTAAGAAAAATATGCAGACACAGATATATAGGCCAACTCTTAGTAATGATATGAAATATACTTAAAGAGCTTTTAAAACTTTGTATTTTTGTACAAAATATTTGCCTTTTTACAATTTTTTCCTTTTCTTTTTTTTTTTTTTTTTTTTTTTTTTTTTTGTCATCTTACCAATATAATACATGGAGCCAAAGAAAACAATAATGGTACTAATAAAAAAAAAACTCTTAGGGTTTCTTGTCAGACTTAATTCTACCCATTGGCAAAGAAATTTTTCAGTTGTGGTTTTAAAAAATTAAATATGTGTGTATATATATATTTTTTTAATGTATCATTTCCTCAGAGGAGTCAATCACTTGAAATGTCTAAAAATATCCTTGCAGATTTTGCCAGGGTAGGTCAAGCCTGAGCATATACGTGGCTCAGTCAAGTGGGCTGTGTTTTGAGCCCATCACCAGCCAACATTCTTACTATGTGCCTGGCCAGGCCCAGAGAAAGTGGTCAACTCAGGATGTGCTTCTACTTCATTTTGGTGGAGTTAGGGGTGGTGGAGAGGTATCTGTTGGGAAAGAATCTGGCTATCTAGAAAGCCCTATTTTATGGCTGAGTTATGAATGTGCTTCATATCAGACCAATAGCAGAGCCACTAGTGACTGTCAGCAAAGTATGGCATCTCATCAACCAAGGCAGAGATGCAAGCAAGATGGGGACAGCTATATGCTACCTGGAAAGTTTGTGTTTTCTTAAGGCAGGTTCCAAAAAACATAACTTCAAGGTACACGTATGATGAAATGCAAGAGTAAACTTTTGGCCACTACATTGAACTGTTGCAAAGAACCTTTCCTCTGAGCCCATCTACCTTCTACACCTTGACTTGCCATCAAAAAGTCTAACATGAAATGTGCTGAAAATAGGCATTAGATATAATTGATGCTCAAAGGTAAGATTTCCAACCAACAGATTCCCTCTCCTCCCCTTCCAAGGAGCTCCCCAGGCAGTGCTGCTACCTATCCCAAATAAAATGGTAAAAGAATAAAGACAGAGTTTGACTTTCACACCTGTAGCCGTGTGGACTATGTTGTCTTACCCCCTGGTCACCATTCATGCCATCTCTGTAGCTGAAAACGACCATCTCCTCGCACCTTTATGCCCTGCTGTCCTGTTCACGTGGCCTGGTCAGGTTGCCAGCACTCACCGTCATCTGGGCCCTGTGACACAAGGCAAGCACTGGACTCCAGTATTTTCTCAGGTCAAGGCCTTCCACAGATTAAACCCAATCCCTCAAGACCTTTTATAGATTAAACCCAATCTGCTTTTTCATCCTCTTCCTGTTTTTTAAGTGTCAATTCATATTCATGCCCAGAAGCAACTGAAATGTGTGATGCCATCATCAGAAGGGAACAGTGCTAGCTCTCTCAGTTGAGATGGTTCTCTCCAGCCCTAATCATAACTTACAGTGCTGTCATTTGTCAGGTACTATGGGAAGTACTTCAGTCAGACCATCTCACGTCATCCTCCTAACAGCCCCATCGAGCAGGCCTTGCTACCCCCCCCCATTGACAGAAAAGGGGAGGGTCTCAAGGAGGTGACACCACTTCCTAGGTCCCACCATCACTAAGGAGATAGGATTCTGACTTGAGCTCTGGAAATTCTGTTTTTGAGGAACAGGGGTCCCTCTTAATAACACACTGAATAAAATCAGATGAATATCACACATTATAAGATACCTTATGTACTTCTCTGTACATTTAGCTCTTTATACAACAGGTTTCTGTTCACCTACTCACAACTGATGCTCTTTTGGGAGGAGAATTTTAATGAGATATGATAAAGTCTGTTCAGGTACGTAACCTGATACACACTAGGAGAAGGAGAATGATTTTCTTTCTTTTTTTAAGTGTATTTATTTTGAGAGAAAATGCACATGCAGCAGGGAAGAACAGAGACAGCAGGAGAGAGAATCCCAAGCAGATTCCACACTGTCAGCACAGAGCTTGATGCGGGGCTCTAACTCAAGAACCAAGAGATCATGACCTGATCTGAAATCAAGAGTTGGACACTTAACCAACTGAGCCACCCAGGCACCCCACAGTTTTCTTTCTAATGGTTCTTAAAAGAATGAATGCACAACCAGGAGGGGAAAAAACCCTTTCTTTTCTATTACCTTCTATTATGAATCTCCTCTCACCCTTCCAACTTGTAGGAGTTAAAATGTAAGCTAAAGTAGACAACAAATGGTAATAGCCACTCCCATTTTAAAAACCAGATATTTAAGGAAGTAGAGAGCTATATAAATCAGGTAACAATGCCAAGCATGTGTTTTTTGCCTCAGATGACAAAGCTGGTCTCTTCTTGAAAAAGTAAGCATATTAACTCATGACTCAGAGAAGTCACACAAGAATAATTGTTTAAATGTTTAGCATTTTCACATACATTATCTCCTCTAATCTTCATGCAAAACTGAGGAAACAGGATGACTGGAAGACTTGTCCCTAGCCCACACTGCTGTCATAGTTGCCTTCAAAAATGCAAATCTGATCAGGTTCCTCATTCTTAATTTAAAATCCAACTCTATCCTACCCCATATCCCTAGCCTAAAATCTTCAAAAGGATCCCAGGTTCCCAACCACATGTCCAGCCTTCCCTCCAGCTGCAACCCTACCCTCCCTCACCCATGCACCAAAACAGCCTGCCAAGCCACCTGTACTTTCTCCCATGCTCTTTCTCACCCCCATACTCTACCTGGATTCCTTCCCTGTATTTTATACCTGGAGAGTACCTTCTTTAAGATTCAGCCCAAGCATCACTTCTTGTCTGAATCCTTTCCCAAAAAATGTAGAGCAGATCCCTCTTTCCATGCCAAATACTGTGCACAAGTGATCTGGATGAAACAGAAGAAAACTCCTTCAATGTGTTAGATGATCTACAGATTAGATGAGAGACCTAAAAATTACTGAATTGAGAAGAGAGAAAGGTGAATGTGGCCAGTCAGTTATGAAATCTTAAAAGAACTGAAGAGTAGAAGAAGCCAAGCAAGAGAAATGAAGGGATTCATGTTGCTAAAAGTTGGTTATTATACATCCAGTATATTGGATGTATGCTTATTATATTTGTATCAGTCCATCAACGTGAATGGAAGATAGAGTGGAAAGAATCAGATGGTAAAACAGATTCATTCTATTACCCAAGTATGGCCCTGAGTCAGGGAAGAACTTTAGAAACCTTTTCTAAATGGTAGTGTGATGGAGCATCTCTTTTCTTACCATTATACTCAACAATTTTACAAGTACAGATAGACTTTTCAGTCTTTTTGAGGTGTTTCTCTGTACAACAGTTCCATTTTCCTGAGAAGAATCCCTTAATGGCATGGTGTCATATTTATTTGATAAGTCACATAGCAGATGTTGAAAAGATTTTGCGTCACCTGTTCATCCTTTTTCCTCTCCTCCAAGATATCCTTGTTCAAATAAGTATATAGCATGCCCAGTTGAGCAAAAGTCCAGAAAAAAGCAGGCTTAAGAAAACTAACATTAATTCCCCAGAGACAGGACTCCTGGTTTTCATATTTTTCAATGAATGGTCTATGAATAAACTATCTCAGTCCACTCCAGCCTGCCATAGTCAGGATTGTGTCCCAGCCTCCAAACTCCATCCAAGGACATTAGCCCTCAGTTTGCAAAGCAGGGTCACCTGTGCAACTTGAGCAGGAGGAAGCTGCCAGTGTAGAGACTTCTGCTAACAACTCATTCAGACAGGTCATAAAATGGGCATAACCAAGGGTCTCAATTTAGTCTTCTTGGCCAGGTATGGAGAATTGCCCTTTGACCAGTCTCCTAACCTTTGGCACCAGAGTTTTGTGTATTCTTTACATGTCACTAATTGCCAAGACCCACCAAATCATGGCTGGAAGCTGCAGGGAGTTACAAGCTTCTTAAAATTAATTCCTGTGCCATGAAGCAGGAGCCAGGCCAGGCCTGACATTAACAAGCACAAAGTGCTGGCTCTATAGTAGCACCTACTATAGGTTAGGAAGTTGACATATACTATTTCCAACCCTTATGCAAGAAAACTAAAGATTGGACTGATTAAATAATCTTCCAAGAACTGGGATTTGAACTCATGGCTGCCTAGCTTCCACCCCTCCATACTGTCTTCTATACTCCCAACCAGGACCTTCCTGAGAGCCTAGGCTTTTCCCATTGTATTTTGTTCTTTGCCACAAGAAATCTCAAACCACCAAGATTACCTCTCTCTAACAGGACCAGAGAGAGAATGTAGGAATCCTGATGTGCACAGTTTAGATAAAAGTGCTAGACCATTGTCTTCAACGTCAATTAGCAAAGAGGCCCCCAATGCCATGGATGTCCAAAGAGGCTAGTTTGAAGAACCCACTCTAGATTCTAGAGTAGCTGGACCTCTCCCAGTTTTCTGATATAATTAGTGCCAAATGAAGAGAGATGAGCTTTGGAGCCAAATGGGCCCAAGTTGGAATCTTGCTCTCTACTTCCTGGTTATGACACATACTCAAGTGGCAAAGAGCTCTCTCCCCTCATTTCTCTCTTTGCCTGCCATGCCCTCCACTCACATACAGAACCAGCATTGTCCAGAACTGGTTCAGACCTGTCACTACCTGTCCCAGTATCATTAGGGAAACTGCATCAGCAACTAGCTCACTGATAATGCATCCTTTCAAAATACTAGATAGGGATAACATGGTGAAAAACTAAAATTATAAGA